AATCCCTATACTATAAGCTGGTGACATATACAGGGGGTGGTTCCTTGAGATTCCACAACTTGGATTAATAAAACAAACCCTAAATTGGGTTCATTTAAGGGTCTTCTCTTGTGGAAAATCTATTTTCTTTTTCTTGACTTGAGCTTTAATTTTCTTGGTAGTTGTGATCTTAATTTGATGGGCTTTGATTTTAAGGGCTTCTTTGTATTAATATCTATGTGAGTGTGTGCGAAGAAGTACACAAGTAGCCAACGCGATCCTCGCAAAACACACACTCATTTTAAGTCACCAGAAAAGGTGGCTGATCCTTCGGAGGCAGACCCCTCCTCAGGAAGCATATATTTTGCCTACAAATTAAGTCCAACCTCACCGCCAACTTAATTGGTTGCTTTCACTCCACCTCTTCACTTCTGTGCCTTCTTCTTCTCCGTCTTCTCTGTCTTCTCTCTCTCTCTCTCTCTCTCTCTCTCTCTCTCTCTCTTTGTGTGTTTATGTGTGTTCATGTTTTCTAGCTATATCTAGGGTTTGCTTGTTACTACAGTTTCAGGCTTTTCTTTCAGGTGTTATATGTATAAAAGAGCACTGTAATTAATATTAACATTAATTTATCTTTGCTGGGTACACCTCTTACTAAAAGCGATTAAAGTTTCGTCTATATCTAGTAACTTTAAATAGTTTGGAGAAAGAGAGAAGAATACTAGTACGTTTAAGGTATGGATGAGAGAAGTGATATGAATATTATTGGAGGAGATAAAATGGATGAAGTGATGCTTCCGGGGTTTCGTTTTCATCCGACTGATGAGGAGCTTGTTGGGTTTTATCTCAAGAGGAAGATTCAGCAGCGCCCTCTCTCCATTGAGCTCATCAAGCAACTAGACATCTATAAATTTGATCCCTGGGATCTTCCAAGTAATTTTTTTTAAATATAAATCTTGTTCATGCATGAGTACTAAAAAAGTTCAACTTCTAATCTATTTGGCAGCTTTTTCTCTCTTATATATGCGTTGTGTAATACCTTAGATTTAGGTTAGGGTTTCATTTCATTTCTTTGTTTAGAATATCTAGGATTTTTGTTGCATCTATTTCAAGCTTTTACAAGTTAAATACCCATCTTCCTACCTAACCTAGCTTAATTTTGAACAGCTTTGATTAGCTTTCAAAGTTTTAATTAAATTCTTTGTTTGATATATATGTAGAGTTGGCAGCTTCCGGGGAGAAGGAGTGGTATTTCTACTGCCCAAGGGACAGAAAATACAGAAACAGCACAAGGCCGAATCGGGTAACTGGAGCCGGGTTCTGGAAAGCCACGGGAACCGACCGGCCCATATACTCATCCGAAGGTGCATGTAGCTCCAAGTGCATTGGGTTGAAGAAATCACTTGTTTTCTACAAAGGCAGAGCTGCCAAAGGGGTCAAAACCGACTGGATGATGCATGAGTTTCGCTTACCGTCTCTCACCGACTCACTCCCACCAAAGAGATCATCATCATTCATGGACAAAACCATTCCTGCAAATGTATGTAAAGAAAATTTATCTTTGTATATATCGCGAGTTTAGTTTGACAGTCAGATAACAATTCACATCACAGATTGCTTGATAAGAGAGCATTTTTTAACTCAATATTTAATATTTATATAATGTATTATTGTTGACTAATAAAACTATATAATACTATTTGTTGCAGGACTCATGGGCAATATGCAGGATATTCAAGAAAACAAATTCAAGTCATGCTCATCAAAGAGCCCTTTCTCATCACTCTTGGGTGTCTGTCTTGCCTGAAACAAACACATATGATGATCATATGCTAGGCTCCAAAGCTGCACACAGTGCTACTCATCATCATCACCAACATGAGTTTAGTTCAGAGAGAATGCCATTGACATCAAAAACCAATTCAACCACCAACTTCTGTGGTAACAACAACAATGACATACAAATCTCATCCACCACAAGTTCTATGTCCCCTTTAGATATTTACACTAACTCCTCCTACAAACCCGTGAACCCATTGATGATGGGTTGCAACATCAAACTACCCTATCAGTACTTTCCCATTTCCAATTCCAATGGAGACTACTTTTCTAGCACCCCTAGCTTCACATTTTCATCATCACCCCTAGAAACTCCATCAGGACCGGTGGCTAAATGCACCGTGGATGTGTCGTCATTGTTGTTGAACATGTCGTCTTCGATGCTTGGAGATTATAATGGTAGCAACAGCATCAACAAGGCTTCTGCAGAGAGCACTAATTTCGAATTTAGTACCAACACTGGATCACAGGATCAATGTAACGGCGGCTTCTCATCCATGACATTGCCACATCATCATGAGGTCATGCAGGGCAATAATAACATGGGCAATGGTCATGACACTGTTGTTGGGTTGATCAAGAACAATATTTCAAATGTGAACTCTGACGTGACAGAAGACGCAGATGATCAACGATGGGAGACGAGTGTGAGATCCAATACTGGGGTTCCCTTGATGATGAGCAATAGTTTTCCTTTGCCTTTGAATATAGGAGGAGGAGGAGGAGGAGATGCATGGAAGTCGAGTTTGACGTGGGAGTCTTCACCATGTCCAAGTGAAATGTCCACAACCAGATGCTATACTTGAAATTACTTACATAAGAAACATTTCGTCAGTATCTCAAAAACCATTTGTTTCTTAATTAGCTTAATTTTTAGTTAGCTAGCTAGCTATGTAGCTCTATAGTCTATAGCTCAGTTAATTAAGTTTCATCTCTAGTGGGATTCTTTTTGCTCTACTTAATTAAACTCCAAAGTGTGTATGATTAATTGAGGAAATAGAGTGTTGAGTATTTGGCATGTTAATTTGAGGTCCTTTCGTGCAAAATTGCAGATCATCAATGCTCACTCATAGACACATGCACAATGCACATGCATGATGCGCGCATTCACAAACGTGCTTGTAACGAGAAAATTTCAAATTGATAAACTAATTAATTATGTATGTATTCAGACTCGAGAGACCTAAAAACAATTCATCGACATGTTTTTTCTTTCCTTATTGTATCCAAAAAGGAAAAGCGGATAAATTGGTTATATACCAAAGCTTCCATTGGATATGCTTCATGCTTCTAGCATGCTAGGATTAGAAAGGAATTATCAAAATTTAAAGACATAGGGGCGATGACATATTAAACTCCACATATACTATATGCCTGCTAGGACACGAAACCGGGTCCTTTTGCTTATCAAAATAATTAACAACAAAGGTTTGGGGTCTTTTCTTTTTATTTTCATGGTTATTTCTTTTGGGGAGAAAATAAATAAACTTGTACTTGGAGCTGGGCTCATGTCCAAAATTATTCATCGAAGTCGTCAGAGAATATGGACAAGGAGATGTGATGCTAAGATTGGCCCATTGGAATGGCCTTTCGGTGTAAAATGGGTTTGATAAGTTGTTTAAGCCCAAAAAGTGTAAAGGCCCAAGACATATAAAATCAAATGAACATAAAGATGATGAAGCAAATCCACGGAGCATGCATGAGATTCTTGTTCATATCTTTCTAATCCATTGACAAAATTAACAGCATTGGCCTACTGAATTAAGCGAAAGATATTAGATTGCTTCCATATGACATGATGCATGCCAATGCAATAAGACTGATTCATTGGTAGATATCTGATTTATTAGTGAATGAAAAACAGATCAAGTGGCTATAAACTTACTGAGTCATATTCCCAGGTCATGCCATCAGTTTAGCCGAGTCGAGGATAATATGTAGTAACAAGACTTTCTGGTAGTTGAAATTACGCGAAGGCTAGGAAATTGCATCTATGTAGACAGAATTCAGTTGGCTCACACTTTTAATAAGATCCAACTCCATATAAACTTCTCGGCGCACTGCACATGTATGCACCAATTCAGAGAGAGAGAGAGAGAGAGAGAGGAATGGAGCATAAGCAATCTGAGGTTGTGCTCTTTGGGACATGGTCTAGTTCTTTCAGTGGTAGAGTCAAGATAGCCCTGAAACTTAAGGGCATCCAGTATGAGTATGTTGAGGAAGATTTAGTAAACAAGAGCCAAATGCTGCTCAGCTACAATCCTGTCCACAAACAGGTACCCGTTCTTGTTCACAGAGGCAAGCCGATCGCTGAATCACGCGTCATCCTCGAATACATTGATGAGAACTGGAGCAAAACCCCCAATCTGCTGCCCAAAGATCCATATGAAAGAGCCAAAATTCGCTTTTGGGCAAAATATTATGATGAGAAGGCAAGCAAGCAAGCTATTTTTTCTTGTCATAGTCGTACTTTAGTTGCTAACCGCTAACAAAACAATCCTATTTCATTTTTATCAGATCATACCAGGAATATACAGTATTATAAGGTCCAAGGGGAAAGATAGAGAGAAGGCCATCGAGGACTTGAGCGAATTGGTTAAGGTCTTTGAAGAAGGGATGAAGAGGGATTTTGAAGAGGATCCCCCCTTCTTCATTGATGGTTCCTTGAGCTTTCTGGGTATTGTGGTGAGCTCATATGCTTGCACCTATGAGGCTTTTCATGAGGCTGTCACTACCGTTCTTATACCCGAAAAGAACCCTGCATTCTTTTCATGGGTGCATGATCTCAAAGGCCATCCTCTGATAAAGGAGACTCTCCCACCTCATGACAAACTGGTCGCCAGGCTGAAGCATCTTCAAGCTTGATCTTTTAGTCCTCACAGGCATAAGAGAAAAGGCTTGATCTTTTAGTGATACGAATAAATTGACAGACTTTAAGATTTCTCTCTTTTTTTTCCTATTGGAATTTGAATAATTGCGATCTTAGGTTACACTCATCTACGGTTGCTGTATTGATAATAGTTAAACTTGGCTATGTTATTCTGAATCTACCTTAGATGACCTGGTAATACGTACGTTGCATTTTCATCCTCTACACATTAGAGCACTCAAACTAAAGAAAGTTCCAGTCTTGTAATGAAAAACAATAAACTACATGAAAGGTTTGGAAAAGATCCACACATAACTGGAGTCATAAATAAAGCTACTAAACTGACATTACACAAACAATTGGAAAATGTATATGTTACCACTGAAATACAAAACAGGGAAAATCCATGGTAAGAGTGGATTTCTGAACAAAATTAAGTACTTAACATCATAATTAAACCATCCACAACAAAATGTAAAAAGCACAAACTGGAACAACTCAAATTACTTCCCATAGCCCAACACAAGCCAAAATCACTCTAGTAGCTACGTAACACTCACTCGATTTTGAAATCTAGCTCTTTGAGGCTTGCTTTTCCTTTGCCTTCTGAATCTTCAACACCTTTTTCACAATCTTTTGTTCTTCAATCAAAAAGGCCCTGATGATCCTGTAAACCAACAGAAAATGAGTTGTCTAAACCCAATCCATGCAACATAACATTAGAATTGGAAAAGAAAAGGTCAAACTGGAATCCATATACAAACCTTTCCTTGACTGCAGCTCCAGACAATACGCCACCATAAGCACGGTTAACAGTCCTCCGATTCCTAGATAATCTAGACCTCTTATATTCAGCAGGTCTCAAGTGAGGGATCTACAAGCAAAGACAACAATGCATCACCCCCGAGAATGCGCTCACAAGCAATCATTACCCACATATGGTGCTCTACGCAGAAATTGATTGCAACTAAGAACTCAAATGAATAGGTTAAGTGGAATTTGAACCATTACATCCACACACAGAGACACACTACTGAACTGGCATGGTAGTACTTTAACAAATCAAATGAATCCGGATAGTGCAAATTAAAAGAGTTAAATTGTAACCATTTTCAGATGCAAACCCACGAAACTACAATGGAGATGAAACTAGAATATAAGAACTATGAAGGCAACACAAACTGTAAAAACAACACAACATTTTCAAAAGAAATAAGACGTACCCCTTGAATCCTCTTGCCAGTGACAGGACACTTGGGTCCACTTGCCCTCTTCTTAGTGGTCTGGTACACTAGCTTCCCTCCTAAACATCCATCAGAAACAGCACAAACAATTGAATTAACACAAATAAAGCAGAACCCACAAATCAAAACACCATCTTCATCCACCATTCATTTGCAGTTACACACAAATATGAGCCAGAAATGAAGCAAACAACATTTAGGGCTTACAAGTTACAAGCAAAAATATTTAAATTTACCGGGGGTTTTGACGATCCTGTGTTGGTTGGATTTGGTGGCATAGCTGTGCCGGGTACGATATGTGAGACGCTGCACCATTTTTGCTCGATTTTCAGCTATCACTCAGTCTAGGGTTTTGTCGAAGAGGAGGCTTTATATGAATCGTTATTAACTTACTGCTTAAGATCGGAGGGCCCTTATTAGATCTTTGCTAAACTGTCTCTGATATGATGGACGATCCAGATTTTAATTTCCACCAATACGAGGCTGTCGAAGTGGGGCAAGCGGCTTGTGTGATTGTACCGATTTACGACGTCGTTTCTACGTACTTTGAGTTAAAGGGAATATCAGGCCCACTACTATGAGTTATTGGGCTGGGAAAGGCCCACTAAAATGATGCGGACGAATTAACTTGCATCAATGATTATTTTCAGTCCCCATTTAAATTTAAATTTTATAAAACAGTGGTTGAATAAATAAATAAATAAAATGACATAAAAATGTAACCTTTTGTGGCTTTTTCTTAGAAAGCAACAAAAAACGTAGACCGACTTTGTGTTTCCCCTCTTAGCTTGAGCAATAAGCATGCACATTTATTCTTTCCGTATTAAACTAAATCTCTTGTTTAAAAGCATGTATGAAATGAAAGCTGAGTGATGATCGAATAACACAACAAAAACAAAAAAAGTCTTTCACCAAATCCTTCCAACCACACCCCCCCCCCCCCCCCACTCGCCATCCCCCCCCCCCCCCCCCCCCCCCCCCCCCCCCTCATCTCTTTCTTCACTTTGCACCATTCATCATGTGCATCACGCTACTAAGACGGCAAAATAGTTCTACTAAATGAATTTTACTAGCAATACCTGAAAAAAGGGAGTGAATGCAACACGATAACTTTCTAAGAGATATCAGCATTAGTATTGGTCTAGTTTTTTTATTTTCTTTTTTGTTGTTGTCGTCGATGTCTGCCCATCTCATCTTACCTATAACGACATGCTAATTATTTGATAATGACACCCACAGCCGGCCAAAACCATCCATTGAGTGAGGGGAAAAGGCTAGAGTCATCAACGTGTATTATACGGTAATTGAATTCAAAACAAGAATGATAATTTTGCAAGTCTACTAATCTAGTTTAATTAGCGGCGATATTTGCTAAACAAATCGTTTTCGCTTTCCATTCGTTGGCTTCTTATTTGAAATCTTAAATATACATTTTATTACAAGTCTAGGGTCACATTCTCCTTCATCCTGCCCCCTCATAGTTATGAAAGCAGGCTAAAGACATGCCACCAATCCGCAAATTTTAAATTCATGACGCCCAATTGTTGACTCATTTGTTATCCAAAATTAGAAAATTTGTTGACTCATTTTTAAGTATAAATTTAAATATTATATTACAAAAAATAAAATGAAAAAAGACTTCACCATATTATAATATATAATGGCCGGCTGATATATTGAGCATGCAATTGCTTCAATGGGTTTACTATTTTTGTCTATTCATGAAGCCCACTAATAAGACTACTGATAATGTAATTAAAGGAATCCCCAATGGGTCCAACCTAATTAAAAAGGACTTTGACTTGCAGATAAGGTCTCACGTTCGAAGAATCATGACATCTTAGTTGTATGTGTGTGAAAAAACTCCCGTCCATGTAATATGAACTATCGCTTGTTCTAAAAACAAAAATATGATACAAAAAATACAATTAAGAATTTTAACATAAATTCCCAACAAAATGGTAATCTAACATTTTGCAATTACATTTTTATGATAAAATGGGATGGTGAGTTTTGGCAAAGAGAGGATGAGTTTTTTAAGTAAGAATGGCTTCATAATGCACTACTTACAATTGAACTGTCAAATCAATTGTTTATATTTGTCTCCCATTTTTATTTCAACGTTTTTTTTTTTGGTTTGTAAAATATATAAAAAGTGGACCAATTTCTCTTTGGTTGTTACGCTTCTAATACATAGACACCCAAATAAAACCTTTCTAAATTTGCATTGCCCTAAACTGAAACTAGTTTTTTCTTATCGTTTGGCAAACAAAAAAAAAACTGAAACGAATTTAATTATGAATTAAAAATCTAGGTATAAACTGAAACTGATTCAATTTGAAATTAAAACCTAGACCGGAGTCATTATATATACAAATAATATGAAGGTGATTAATGACTTTACAATTTAGTTGTCAAAAATATAATTTCATGGACATCAGTTACATTCGTAGGTTTATACCCTAAACCCTAAATATATATATATATATTTCTTAATCACATATATTTGGAAATTTTTTAATAATGAATACGTGTGTAATTTATTTATTTTTTTGACAAAACAATATTTTAACTTGTTTTTTAAAAATATTTTTTTTGGGTAAAATTTATAAAAAATATTTTAATGTAAAGAGAACTAGATCATATATAAAGAGAATAGTTTTACTCAGCACTATACTAAGAGCATCTCCAACCGATATGTCAAACGTGCCACATAGACATTTAACAGTTAAAAATGACATCTTACATCACTCCAACCGATATGTCAAAGCTGATGTGGAATGAAGGCTGGAGGTTGAGACGTTATTTTTGACATCCCAAAAGCAAGATGTTAAATGAATATTTTATTATTTTTTCTTTTCTTTTCTTTTTAATTAAAAATGAATCAACACTAAAATATAATAAAATAATAATTTAATTTGACATATTGGGTGGAGTGTAGAGCTGTGTAAGATGTCAAAATGCCACATCAGCCATCAAATTTAAATTTGATGTTTGGTATTTGACATCTTCCTTGGAGATGCTCTAAGTGCATCTCCAATCGATATGTTAAAAGTGCCACATAGACATTTAACGGCTAGAAATAACATCTCACATCACTCCAAACGATGTGTCAAAGCTGATATGGAATAAAAGCTGAAAGTTGAGATGTTATTTTTGACATCTCAAAAGCAAGATGTCAAATGAATATTTTATTATTTTTTCTTTTATTTTCTTTTTAATTAAAAATAAATCAACACTAAAATGTAATAAAATAATAATTTAATTTGACATATATGGTGAAGTGTAAAGTTGTGTAAGATGTCAAATTGCCACATCAACCATCAAATTTAAATTTAATGTTTGATATTTGATATCTCCCTTGGAGATGCTCTAATCACCATTAAATGTGTATAATTTAATCTATATGCTATAAGAACTTCAAAAATTCAACCTACCAATGGTAATTAGTTAATGATAGCAAATACATTGTCTTGATCAACCGGTATAACCCAACTGTAAATTTGATTTGCTTTAACACACACACACACACACACCCCTCTCTCTTCCTCCTCCTCCTCCTCCTATAAAGCTAGTAGGCTATAGCATTTCCCTTCACCCAAACCCAAAGGTGGACCGTTTAGTAGACCTCAAGTCTTACTTTGACTCCTACCCCCTTCACTAGGGAAACGTGTCGGTCTTCCCAGCCCAACCTTCACAAAACACTCAAATGGAAACTCCTTTAACTGTTGCTGCCGCTGCTTTCAGAAATCAAACCGACCCAACAAAATAACTTCCATTCCATCTGAATTTATTATTAGTATTTATTAGTATCTATCATAATTATTCCACGTATCTTTCTCTCTTTCACTGCACAATTGACAAACAATAGAATTCAGCTCAATCTCCTCCAACAATCTCGCATATATTTGTCTCCCCCAAAGAATGTTGTCTTTCGAGTGTTCACTCCCTCCTCAAGTTTCGCTGTCTGCAAGTGGAGACTCCACTATCCCCGAATGAATTCCGATCCATGGAGAAAAATTCCAAGCGTCCTCCTTCTCCCCTGACTTTGCTTACAACTGCCAAAAATTAAGAAAAAACCCCCGAGGTTGATTGAAATGATGGTTACCAACAAATTCCTCGTGCTCAAAACCCAATTCCACTTTATTGCACAACGTCTCCTAAGCAAGTCCTTGTACGGAAACATGGTTGGGGTCGTTGGTTCTATGTGGGTCTTGTGTTGCAGCTACTTGTTCTTTCTTTTTGGGTTCATAAGCAGATATATACTCAGGTATGTTAAAGTCTGTGATTTCTCCAATGGATTCTTCAAGTTTTTCATTGTTTTTAGGTAGCTAATGGTTGGTTTCTTTCTTTTGCAGATTTCAGGCAGATGAACAGAGAAATGAAAACCGTGTTCCTTGTTTGCAACGGGATGATCAAGTGGGTTCAAAGGGGTCCTCGATTTCAGACATTGATGTATTTGGAGAAGAAGAGGAGTGTTTTCTGTATTCTGATAGCAGAAGTGAAGATAAAAACAGAGTAGAAGAAGAAGAAACGGAGAATATTGGTTTTGTGAAGACAGTTTCGGCCGCAAGCACCGATCTTTACGAGTTCAGGTCCGGCAAAGATATCAATTGCTACATGGAAGAACCAAAATCCACGAGCTTTGTTGTCCAAGAATTTTATGTGGGATGGAGTAATTCAAATGTATATGATACTCAAATTCTTGATAAAGGAGCAGAGGCTGCTGAAGAAGAAAAATCAGAGGCAAAAACAGAGAATTTTGATGATCAAATAACAACAAAAGCTGTTGAAGTTCAAGAAGAAACAGAGGCTGTTGATGATCAAGAAGAAACAGAGGATGTTCATGATCAAGAAAAAACAGAGGAAACAACAGAGACTATTGCTGATATGGAAAAAACAGAGGACTCTGCTAGTTCTGTTTGCGTCGGAGAGGTTTTAGAGAAAACTGTAACTGGTCATGATTCTTCTGAGATAGTAGAGCACAGTTTTGATAGTTTTAGTTTTGGGAAGTTTTTCGTTGCTGAGAGTGAGCTGTCCAGGACGGTTGAGTATCCAGAAAATACAAGTTTTGGGAAGCATGAGCCATCAGATGATGTGGGTTCAATTACTTATGAGTTTCTGGTGGGCAGAAATGTGAGCGAGGGATTGCAACCTCAAAGCCTTGTGGTCATTAAGGAAGATAGTAAGAACGTAAAAATGATTATGGAAGATTTCCAATTGCATGATTTCAGTATCCCATATGGGAAAAGAGTTGTTTTTTCAGATCAACAACAGGATAGTTCTGAATCTTCTGATGATGAATATATTGAATTATCAGAACCCCAAATCCAAAGTTCTAGTGTCTTGGAAGAAGAAGTTGAGGACCAACACGAAGATAAGGATAAATTATCCCAAAATGAGGAGACAAAACCCAGAAATTGTACAGAACAATCTGCAGAAGAAATTGGCTCGCGGGAGGGAAAATCCGGATCGAATTCGAAAGACGAAAATGAGGATGAGTTGCCATGGGAGCATGAGGATATAATTGAACAGCTGAAAATGGAAATGAGAAATGTGAGAAACAGGGGGCTTCCCACAATTTTAGAAGAAGAAACTGAGTGCACAAATATGGTGGAGAATCTAAATCTAAAGCCGCTGAAGATTGATGAAAAGTTTGAATACAAAGATCAAATGGCGGAGCTTCAGAAGGTTTACAAGAGCTACGCAGAGAGAATGCGAAAGCTGGACATCTTGAACAACCAGACCATGCATGCAATCGGTAAGTTCAACACAAAACCTCCCTCTGTTTTAATTTTGTTGTTCTGCATATTGAAACTGCAAATGGCACATATCAAATATCAATTTTCATGTCGGATAATATATTTTGACCAAAAGTTGGTCTTCTGTCCAAAAGATTAATGAGTTTCTTCATCTGCAAAGGGCAATAGGTAGGGTAACAATTTCTGTATTTAATTTTTCTTTAAAAGCTTCCAAAGTTAATGCTGTGAAGCAGCTTTTCTCTTTTTCTCATTTGTATAAAAAGCATTATCAATGGCTGGATATTATTTTCTTGTCCCATCCTTTAAGATTTTTTTCCAAATTTTTTTCCCACGAAAAGATTCGTTTCAAGACTTTAGAATATGCTGGGCCTCCACTAATATTATTTCCTTTTTTTTGTTCCCATCATTTTCCACTAATAATGGGAATATAACACAACAAACGGCAAGTAGTATAATAAATTTATGATATTCATTTTCAAAAATCACCAACACAATTAAAGCTTCACCCCAAATATTGGGCATAACTTTGACCCCGTTGGTGACGGGTCTATCCTCATCTAACATCATCTAACGAGGATGTTACTATGACGGTATCTCAAGTCTATTATGCATTGTCATGTCGGAAAATTAAAATACATAACAATGGATGATTGGCTTGAGATAACATCACGGTAGTATTTCTGATATATGTAAGTTTTTCTCTTACCAAAGATGATAAAAAAAAACTTAAAATATAGACTTATCACATTTATTTATAATGAATTAATTTTTGGTCTTTGTGTTTATAATCTCCAATCATTTGCTTTGTGATCATATGCAGGTTTTCTCCAACTGAAAGACAAAGTTTCTAAGTCAATAACGATCCAAAAATCTTCATCAATGCCAATTGTTAAGTGTCTTCTGTCACAGAACATGTGGAGATGCAAAACACAAAGACAACCCACAGCTCATGACCGAATTCCAAAATTTGTTGGGGACTTGCATAAGGACTTGGAATTGGTGTATGTTGGGCAGGTTTGCCTGTCTTGGGAAATCCTTCATTGGCAGTACGGAAAAGCCCAAGAATTGCATGCTCAAAGATATAATCACCAGTACAATCTAGTTGCCACTGAGTTTCAGCTGTTTCAAGTGCTCCTGCAAAGATTCGTAGAGGATGATCCATTTCAAGGCCCTAGGGTCCAGCATTATGTCAAGAACCGATGCGTTCTTCGCAGCCTTCTTCAAGTTCCATCCATAAGAGGTAAAACCTAGGGTGTTAAATCATTAGGGCAATATTCATTTTTTGTAAGTATGAGAGTTTGATATGTTATGTTGTCAAACTTTTAAACAAAACCGGACATGTCAGATTGTAGACATCTTTGTATGTTAACAGCGTTTTAGATTATCTAACATTTTGATATGTTAATTGCATTGCAGATGATAGAATGCATGATAAGAAGCATGGGGTAAGAGGGGAGGACGATTCAATAATTTTAAGTGGAATGCTGGTGAACATCATTGAAGAATCAATGCGTATATTTTGGAAATTTCTTTGTAAGGATGAAAGGAATGCGATTCTAAAGGGTCTTCAAGAAACTCAAGTTGACCACAAGGATCTAGAGCTTCTCATGGACATTCGGAAAGATCTTCAAAAGGTTAGTTTATTACAAATCATGATTGAGTATGATTTCTTTTGGATATAATTTGATAACCAACTTACCATTTTTGTGTCATATTTGCAGAAGGAGAAAAAGCTTAAGGACATACTGAGAAGTGGGCATTGCGTGGTAAAGAAGTTTCAAAAGCAGCGAGAAGAGCGGCTTGAGCAAACTTTGTTGATTGCTCAAGTTGAATTGAGGTTGATTTCAAGAGTGCTAAACATGTCAAAATTAAAAACAGAACAGTTGGTATGGTGCCACGAAAAGCTAGACAAGATCACTTTTGTTCACAGGAAGGTTCACATGGAACCCTCATTTTTGCTTTTTCCATGTTGACTTGACTATTGTACCATGTTAACATGTTTTTGACATAATTGTAACAACAAAATAGACAAAATAGCATTAATGGGTTAGGCTTGGTGGAAAGATTGTATAGTTATCGCACCGTCACATAATTACTCAATAAAAAATTATTATAAGGGAGCAATAAAACTTTTTTTTATGTTACTTGTGGGACCTTTTTTAATAGGATGGCTAGCTGATAATATACTAAACTCACACACATAACACGAATGCTAGAACTCGAATTCAGGACCTTACTTGAAAGAACAATTACTCCAAACCACTATACTAGCATGTTATTGAATCAAAATTAAAATGTTCTTCTTAAAATAGATAAATTTTGTTGCTAATTATGGCACCCTTCTAGGGGTAGGTTTTCCTCCACATGCAATGTTGGCCTTTCCGTTTGTTATCTTAAAGATTTGGGCCCAGAAAAATGAACTGCTCGCATTGTCCTGAAGGAGCCCAAACAGCCAACCCAAAGATGGGGCTCAAAAAACCCATTACTACTAATCACCCATAACCTCGAAAGGAAATCAAGACATGTCACAACTTTAGTTCTTGTAAAGATATTTTAAGCTCGAATCTTTTCTTCACATATAAAAACGAAAAGGAAATTATTGGACATACATTGCTGCTTGATGACATAGTTTACATAAGATAAGAGAGATGCCAAGGCACTTGGCCATGTTGCCTAACAATAATTCATGCTGCAACAAATTCGTTCAAATCTTAAAATATAAAATCTAAGAAATCTAAGCTGTAATAAAGTAATGACAAAAGAATAAAGAACAAGTTGATCTTGACGCGTTTGCATCACAAGGGCGGTGGATCAAATTGAATACAAACCAATTGATTAAAGTAAGATTGGTTTAGTGGTGTTCCCAATTATCTTTTCAGAATCAGAGTTGTGTGTTGTTGATCATCATCATCTCCATTTACATTTCATCGTCATCAGCAGCAGCAAACCAAAGCAAAGAAAAAAGAGACAGACAAATGCTTGCCGCTCAAATCAACCAACCAAATAAGGAAACCTGGCCCTCGTTCTGGCTTCTGGGCACTGCCTGCCATCACCTAAAAATAAAAAAGCGTTTCTGTTTTTTAATTAATTATTTTGGTTTAAGCCAACCCCGCTACGCTTGCCTTAAAAGGCCCGGCAATCAAAAATAGCATTCTTAATTAGACAATTGCATGCACAAACAACATGACAACACATCTTTCATGCGTGTTACTTCTGGGTTCTAAATCAAAATCCATGATTAGTCATTTTGCTCGCCTGATGCTGAATTTTGCGGATGTGAGTTAAGTCAGTTAGTCAGTTAAAATTATAAACTCGGTCTTTAGGATTTAAATTTGAATTCCCATCCTCGTATAGTCGATTAAATTTAAACTATCGTTTGTATTTAAAAAACTTGGTCTTGGATGATGTATGTAAATTGACTGAAATATGAGTCAATACAGAGAAGATGAACTTGTATTAATTTTGCTCTCCTCTGCATGACACCATTTAAGCACAGACACTTGAGTGCTGATAAAAAAAGTATTGGTGATGTCAGGACTCGGAAGCATTGATATTAAAGAGGCCAAAAGAAAAGTTTGATGGACAATATAAATTCTGTTTGGATTAGGATTTAAGTGATGCCAAAGGAAATATTACAAATGCTGGTCCCGATTCTATCTTGATTTTAAAGATCAGTCACGGGAAGATATCACGCTCACTTTAATGGGGGGGGGGGGGTGACTCAGTTCTAGATCTGGTTGTGAGTTACTTTGGCTTAATTACCACTAGAAGTTTACCTAATTAATGCCGTAATGAAACTAGTTAAATATGTATTTGGGTTAATTAAGTGGAGGTTTGCCCCAGTCAAGGTGGTACCAAAACCCATCACTGCTCTGTGTCTCTGCCATTATCTCTCCACCAAGACGAAAGCCCAAAGACTATTTCTTGGGTAAAAAGAATTGAATAATACTTCAGCACAAGTAGAAGTAACCTTTAAATGAATAAGGACAAGATAGCAGACGACTTATATTTAACCAATTGAATCCCAAATTTGAAAAAGCTAAACCATTTTGGACAAATAAATAAAGTATGGGAAGGCTTTAACTTTAAGTTAATGAATAAAATTAATAACCACCCCACAAGAATTTTCCGAATGATGGCCTCATGCCACCCAAAAATAGAAATTTCCCCTTCATTCCCAAGATTATTTGTTAAACCAGGATAAAATGAGGCACCACTAATAATAAACATTTCTGCAAAAGAAAGCAACTTCATTTTGCATTAAGAATTCAGAAAATATATTAAGAACTTTCTCCCTAATCACTATCATCTGTTCCACACTTCTCTTCCTCACCAAAACGGTAGTCAGTAGCCATTAATTAATGAACAAGCTATAGCTAACCTAACGAGAAAGGGTAAAAACATTAAAATCACTAAGCTTGTATCTTTCTCTCTCTCTAGATCTTTCTGAGTTGTTCACGACGAAGAAGACGACCCAGTATTGGAAAGATGAAAACTTGCTCTGGTACCTCCATTTTGGGGGATGGCATTGACATTGTAGCTGGTGGTTTGAGCATTAACAATGGAGTCGAAGCCAACTCTGCCACAACCCTCATCATCTCCATTACTGGTCTCGTATTTGACATTGCTAATAATCATCCGCTCACCGCCGTCACTTGATCTCTCTGATCTCTTCTTCAGACCGTGCTTGTTATTGTGCATCCAAACCTTGAACACCCCTCTACGAACCCCAACCTCATTGCAGAACTCCTCCACCAACCTCTCATCACTCCTTTGCATTCTCCAACCTACTTTCTCAGCAAACAAATTCATCTTTTCCTTCTGTTCCTGGCTGAACTTGGTCCTGGATCTCTTTTTCTCATTTGTGTACTTCTCAGCTTTCATAGTCGTTGGGTGGAGACCGTGGTGGTGCCCATCGGACGGCCCAGAAACGCCGTTGCTGAGAGCCAGCAACATTTGGGGTGGGGAAGCAAAATAGGAGGGTGGCAAGTGCGAGACGGGAGGAGGAGACTGTGGGCTCAAAGTTGGGCCTTGGCTCGAAATGGGGCTTTGGGTTGGGCTTGGGCTGGAGCTGTGGTGGTGGTGATGAGTTGGTGGCGCTGGCAGCAAGAGGCGGTGGTGGCTGAGAACATTTTTGGGTCGGTGCTGGTCACGGCGGTGGAAGTTCCGGTGGCAGCCACAAGCGGCGCATTTTAGCGAGGTGGGGTCCATGGGGTTGGAAGAGGGGCTGGGCATGAACTCACCACACCCATCGAGAGCATGGCCACCCAAGCTAGCTGCATGGTTCTTGAGGCACTCTTTGTAGGCAACCGCCATTGTTGGTGGCGGTTGCGGCGGCGGGATTGTGGGATGGTGAGGCTTGAGAGAGCCGTTGGGGAAAGATAAGGACCTGTTTGAAATGGATTTGGGTTCTGATGGTGATGGGGGCTCAGTGTCCGTGTCTGGGGTTTTGATGGTGGTGGCTGTGGGTGTGAGGTGATTAGCGCTGGTAAAGTCCATGACTTTTAGGCATATGAAAATGAAAATGAAAGAAGGGGTATTTGGTATTAAATTAGGGTTTTGTTTAGATGAAGAAGAAAAGAAAACCCTTTTGGTTTTTCTGTGTAAAAGAATGGAAGAAGGCTCAAAGGTGAAAGGTCTTTAAGGGAATGGGCGTTAAGGGGAGATGGGCGATGAAGCTGATTGGGGTGATGAAGGTTGTAATGAGACGTGATGACAAATATATAGATGGGGTTTTGTGGGGACACAGAGAGATGGATTCAATACGAACTATTAGTACTATACCTAATAGCTTCCAAAACCTCTTGTAGCCCCGTAAAAACAAAGACCAAAATAATTAAGCCCCTGTCTGAGCCTCTGCGCTCACACAAAACTCAAAAAAAAAAGAAAAAAACTTGGTGTGAAACGGTGGAAAATTCTGTGTCATTTCTTTAGGGAGGAAGGGGTTTAATCTGAGGTTACGTATGTCAGTCTGTGGCTTCATGTGTTTGTTGAGTGCAATAAATTAGGCTTGACATACTTTTCTTCTCTTTTTTTCTTTATGAATTTGGTCTGAAAATAAATAAATGATATTCGTTGAAGTCAGCGATTTAAGTTTTTTAAAATTTGGACACCTGCAACCCAATCCGACCCAATCCGAAACGTATACGTGTCTTTTGTATCTGTTTTTGCGCATAGGATTCGTAGTACAACAGTACATATATTTTCAGCACAGCAGCAGCAGCGCTGCCCTCTGCCTTGCCTTGCCATTTTCCCAAACCAAATTTTGAATCTTTTTTTCTTCTTTTCTTTTGGGTCTAAATCAAATTTGAATGGTTAATTAAGCATTAGGAAGATTTTAGAAACAGCAGAAGAAGAAGAGGAAGGAGGGCATTGAATTAATCAAGTTTGAAAGCAGAGGGATGGCCAATTTGTCAACTTAACTTATTACTCCATCCATCCATCCATCAATCAAAAACAATGGTGATGGTGATTATGATGATGGTAAATTGGCACCACATGCTTTGGTTAACTTAATCTTGCAGAAACCAATTCCCCCGCTGCTTAATTACCAAGTAAAACATGTCTTTAATTACCACATAAATTAAAAAAGATTGGATTATCGGGTTGATTGAACAGAAAAGTTTGATTAAAGGGGTGCAAATGCATGTCGGTTTTCCTGGCCCATCTTTGATTATCTTTCTTAAGCATCCACGTGTTGCAATAAAGCACACTGTACGTCAAGCATGTAATGCGGCCACACGCCATGTTTGAACCAATCGATTACTCACTATTTTGTACAGTCTTGTTTTTCATCTTAATCATGCTTTCAGAATTTAGATTAGATGTTAGTCATATCTTTAAACAAAATGGATGAATAAATAAATACAAAAACATCACACCGTCGGAGTAATCTCAAATTGGTTTCTGATGGGATGGTTTTTGTCTTTTATGTTTATAATCCTCAATTATGCTTATGTTAGAATCCAAGAAAACATGAAATTAGAGTCACATTACGAGAAATCATTTTATTATCCTCTTTATGTTACTTATAAGAGGAGAATAAATATGAAATGAGAATATGGAAGTTTTTCTCGTCACACCGCATATGGATTTTAAAATTCACCCCGGCTTCTCTAAGGGCAGTCGTTATATTACTTTATCTTTAAGCTGCGGCTACGAAATAATAAATAGCAAGACCTGGAATTTTGGTGATTATTGATTTGATTTGCACTACTAGAAAAAGAAACCTATCTAAGCAAAGCTACGCCATAGCTAGTAGGAATTGTGGGAGTCAAAAACCTCTTAATGGTTGAAACAATGTTCTGACAAATATGTCATTTTTCAACAGCACGCGCAATGAACAAATTGACACAAAATGACACAATATTTTAGCAGGCTAGGCTGCACACTTATCACCCAATTGGGTCTCTATGGTATCCGATTGGTTTTGAGTGCTTCGGTGACTAGCGTATGTTATGCAGTGAAACAACTTAACATCAACAAAGCTTCATTATGCGGATAAGTAGATACAAGTCCTTAACACAAGATCGTATACAAGACATATCACGTGCCCGTATTTCAGTATTGTTTTATAATTTTAGTTTGATAAGATAGGAGCTTCACAGAGAGGTGTAATTAATAAACAGAACCGGATTCCAGAAGGGTCCACCGCCATTACGGGCATGTGTGGGCCAGACATAAAATGGAGATGGACCATGGAATTTTTATCCTTGCTGATGAGCAGAGGAGATATTATCACACAAGGGTTTACTGGAAATTATATTTATGGGTGGATCAGCATCCACCTAAAAGCATTTATGTTCCTTCATGCAAAAATATTAGAGGAGAGAAGATAAAGACCAATAAACAACCCAGCTGTGGGAAACAAAAATATCTTCCACAACCGAAGCCCCAAAGCCCCAACTGGGTAATGTGGATAAGCATTATCCTGTATAATTGGAGATAATGGAATATTTGCATGTGGTTAACCAATCACTAAATCCCCTTTTTATATTAAAGAGCTTCCTCTAATTATTAATTTGTTCTTGACCCCAAATCATGAAACAGCAAATAATTCAGTTTTTGCTTCCAAAACATCATGGGAAGCAAGGGAACGAAGATTCATTTCTGAGTAGAGGTTGAAGTCTAATTCATCCCTTTATAGCAACCGTTGGGTAGTTGATAACCTTGTTATCTTGATGCTAAACCAGCCATGACCATAAATTAATTGTCTCTAAATTAAAATGAGTTAAGGATAATCATACTAGCTCGGAATGCTTGAAGCAAACATTGTTCTAATTCTAAATGATTGTGGTAAAAGCAGAAGAGGTTTTAAACAGCTTGAAAATAGATGTTTTATTAATCTGAACAAAAGTTGCCGCATGTTGTGTGTGGATTGCGGCGTTAGTGGCGTTGCACCTAATTAACCTGTTGATGTTGCTTGCTTCCATCATCTTATTAATAGAGAAAATTCAATGAAACCAGTGCAAAACACTGTTAGCTTTTAAGTTAATCTTTCTATAATTTATATATAATTAGAGCGGCAAGGGTAGAATCCAGTGCAGTGACATTTTCAGAAACCCATGTTGGATATGGGGGCCGTGGGCTGCCTTTTTCAAGCAGGGACAGATCGAAGTGGAATTTGGTGGGCCGGATTTGGCCGGCCCATTGGGTTGCAGCGGGGTGTTGTGAGTGAAGGATGTATGTATTTCTTGCTCGGTAGGTAAAATGCAGCACATAGGTTTCTTGCTTGTTCAGAGTGCAAAGAGACTTGAAATTGAAGGGTTTGCCCCTTTCTTCCCTATTGATATAGCCACTCTACAAAAATAATCCAACTCAGCCACACAGAGTCTCTTCCATTTTGTCCGGCAAGAGATGAATGGCGATCGGCTTTACGCGTTGGGTGGTTCCATATGTTTTGAAATTTCTTGACAACCTTGACAAATACTTCTGGTGAAGAAAATTGTAATTTGTAGGACACATGGTTGCTTGCTTGCTTAGAAATATCCTTGGCAAATTCCCAATTGAACGATAAAGCCATTACAATCTAAACCTCAAGCTCTCTTTGTAAAACAAACATTTAAAAAAGAAATGGCTCTGTTCTTTTCATCTGACTGTCATTAAGCTTCCCTCCCCTATCAACACCAAAAGAAGAGAAGACCACCAGCCAAGACGAAAGTGAAAATACTAATCAAGGTATAAAATAAAAGCTCATTACATTTGAAAGAAATTGTAAGAGCTGCAGGGTTACAAAAGAATTTCACTATCATCTGCAACAAAACTCTAACACCGATGATGCAAACAGAAACAGAACACTGCTCTTCAAAAGACTCAGAAAAAAAAAAAAAAAAAAAAAAAAAATTAAAAAACAACTATATTTGTTTCTTTCATTTCGGAGGAACCACCGTCGTCTGCACTGTTCTCTCATTGGTTTATGATCTTAGCTCCAAAGACAGAGACTAGGTTGGCTCCACTGTCACTGAAAGCCTTCAATGACTTGCTCTGTTACTTGGCTATACACGTCTCTCTATTATATAAAAACTCTACTGAAAGATAGGAAAAAAGACCAACCAACCAAATGAAGTTTGAAACTTTCGAATTGAAGCAATTCACCGCCTCGTGGTTGTCCTGCATTGCTTGAATCAACTTTATGTTTAAAATGCCAGCTTCATCCTTTAAGACCTATTGTGGATAGGATCCGATCCTCTTCGCACTCTTCTTTTGCTCGATTGATTTGGATCAAAGTTGCTGTTTGTGTTTGTTGAATTCTTCTCTGTGCTCATTTCCTCCATGGTGGCAGCCTTGAGAGTACGTTGACGCCGCGGCAAAATTCCATGATATTGATCTTGGTTCTCTCTGAGGGCTAGGCCTATACTTGTGAGGGCAGAGACTTCATCTGGTTGAACTACTAAGAACAACCCAATACAGAAAAGAAGAACAAACACACCATGAGAACTGAAAACCATGGTATGGTTTAAAAACTTCTATACAAACAAACAAGAAGAAGAGGAAAGTAGTAGAAAACTAGATATCTTGTTTTTGTTTGAGTGTTAAGACCAGTTTGTGAACCTTGTGTTCTTATGATCCATTCCTGTAGATATAACAAGGGTATTTATGTGTGTTGGTTTTGGGAGGGGCTTTAAAGTGTAAAGCATGGAGGGACCCAAAACACCAAGAGGAATTTTAGATTCACCCAAACCATAAGTCTGCAACCTAAGCAAATTAAGGCTGTTATATGGAAGAATCTGACATGGATGAATAAAGGGTATTTGAACAATACCCTTGAGAAGCCAAGTATCTCTTATCGTTTGCCCTGCTTTTGTCGACTAAGAAACAAAGGCCAATCCAGTGTCTCCTGGTCTCATAGCCACATGCCATGTCACTATACAGTGCTGATGTGTAAAATGCAAAATATACTTTATTTAGTCAAGTTTTCCCAAAGATCCAGAATTCCTGGTCAGATTGTTCACTCTTCTTAGCTCAAGTGGATTAGATGGCATCAAGTTGTAACTTTTGGGGCTGACAGAAATAGATGATGGGTTTTCATGGAATATCAGGTAAAAGAATTTTTAAGTATTGGGATAAAACAGTTAGATTAAGGTCTTAATCTGAGATTTGTATGGGGGTTTTTAAGTAAAATGCATTTCCTTTCCTGCTAAGAAAAGGAGGTTTTTGTTTTTCTGATACGAATATATGACTGTGCAGACACAAGTGCGGCTGGGCCACCAAGAAGTAGCAGATGCTACAGTGGCAGTGTCAAGCAAGCCATGCATATAAAGAATAGATAGGAGAAGATTAATGGGGAATAGAGCAGCAAGCAGCCCTCCAAAAGAAACAAACACTTGCTTTATGCCCATTCTAAGATCTCCTCTTCGCCACTTTAGACTTCCAAGCTCTCTTCCCAAAGCAACAAAAAACAACAGTGCTCTACTTGGTTTCTTGTGCTAAATGTGTTTTCTTTATAACACTTTTTCGTTTATTAATGGATGTAGAGAGCCCTTTTTCTTTTATAAGTATTATTTAATGAGTGATTTTGTAACAGTAATATATATCCATGTAAATGTATGTATCACATGCAACTTGGAACATTCTAAAGCATAAATTCCTGTGCTTTATGAAATGTGGGTGACATGTTGCCTTAAGATGAATGGCGACTGGTCAATAAAATTTCAGCTTGAATGTTTTGTTAATCATGTTCTGATTCTCTGCTTTTTATCCACCAATTAAAGTAAAAAGAGCTAACTGAGTTGTAGCTTTCTGGTCGATTTTTCCTCTCCACAAGGTTTAAAACTTCCTTTGGGAGGAGGTTTCAGAAGGTACATGAGAATTATTTCTTGTCTACTTGACGCACATTGCACATCAACCTGTAATATTCTTGGCCCCAAGAAACAGAAACATGGTCTCTTCCTCTTCTTGGTTACATGTTGTGATGTTTAGCAGAACTTTCCAATTCGAACACCAACCAAAATCATATTAATTAGGTACTTTACTTGATGTTGGGGCGGCTGTTGTTGCCACTGCCACTGCAGATGTCTTAACCAGATTCTTCAATCTGCACAATTTAATTTTTAATGTCATGACACCAAGATCCTTGACATCTGTTTAGTCATTTATATATTGCTAAGCCTAAGCCAATGAGATTCTTGGATAAAATTTGATCCCGAAACATGTGGGGTCTCATAGGATTTGTGTAGTGTATATTTAGCTTATTCGAGAACTGTGTTAACATAAGGTACTTGTAACTTGAGAGAAAAGAGCACTGTTTTACTATACTTAATTAATCACATTCCACTATGCGTACATGTAACATCTTGAATCCAAAATTCGAAGAGTGGCTTTAATTCAATTGCTGGTTAAAACCCTTTTGCCAAATTAGGAAACAGATAATGGTGGAAGTGGGGCCTTTTGCTTATTTGGATTGTGGTACGGGTAACGTACCATATTGCTAAGGCAAATCCGCTAAAGTTTGCAAACCCATCATTCTTCTTGCTAATCTGGTGGATCCCATCCTACAGCAGTTCAAGGGTAATAATAATTGAAAGTTAAAAAAATATTAAAAAAAAACTAAAGAGTTAATATTTATTTCATGCAAGCGTTTTATAGATTCTCGAGGTTGGTCTTAAAGTTGTGGCTTTCTTCTGAACATGTTTAAAACCGAAGAGCAAGCCACCAAAGCAACGAGTGCCAAAGCAAGTTAAAGAAGATAAAGCAAAAACTCCATGGTATTTAACTACTTATTGCACAGCACAGAGCATAACCAACTCTTTTTTGCACAACAATTCATTCTCCTTCTCCTTCTTTCTTCTCTTTTCCTGTTTTATTTCCTTGTCTTTCAAATTTTACTTGCGTGTTTGATGTTATTGAACATGATTTATGCCAGTGGAGTATAACTCAGTTAGCTGGGCTCTTCCACATCCACTCAACCATTCACTTGTACTAAAAAAACATACTTCATCTTCTAATTATATTATTTTCTTCATCTTGTATTTGATTTAATGTGGCGATGAAATGTTAGAATTTGGGCTAATTATTCATGTAATTACTAGGAACATATAGATTTGCTTGATAAACCCTATCTTTAGGATAAAAGTATAAACAAAAAAAAAACAAAGCGGGAAGGTAACTACAAACAGAATGTCCCTATAAAATTATATGCTAAAGAGAGACGCTTCCTTTATGTACTTTTACGATCGTTCTTCCTGGATCTTAATCATACCAAACAGTCTGAGAGAATATATGCTTGCCTTCTTTTATCAACAAATCCATTCCTCCATCCTTGTCCAAGCCACTGCACAATCATCATCTTATTATAACGAATCCAATGGGGTCCAGGACCCCATTAATTAAAAACATTACCACCTTGAACATGATCCAGAAAGCTAGCTACAATCCATGTATGCTCTTTCATCACCATGAAAACACTTAATAGTAACTTGTTCTTGATTTGGAAATAAATTTCCAAGTAAATTCATCTCACTCTACGGCTTAATGGTTTAAGCACTCAACTCATAATTGGCAAATTTGTAGGCTCAATTCCTACTGGTTTAATATGATGAACGCAAAAAGTCCATGAGGTTCACGAAACTATCAAGTTGCGTTAGTTTTAGTTTTAGTTTTTTTTTGTTTTTATGTCATTCGTGATCCTTAAGGTTAGTAAGCGTGCTCACAAATAGTCATTGCCGTGAGTTTTCGTTAAAAACTCTGTTAGTTCATTGACGTGACACTTATGTGGAGCCCACATATCCAACAATATTGGATTTAAATATTTTAAAAAATCGTTTAAAATTTTAACCCTTTTAAATTTTTTAAAGACATTCACTTAACACTTTTAACTCTAACTTATCTACGGAACTCAAAAAACTTGATAATTTAAGTTGTTACACTTGGAAAACACCACGCATACGCATGCACCACCATCGAATTGGATACAATATGAAGAGAGCTAGGTTAATGTACTTCCGAGAAAGGAGGAATTTATTTACCACAAGATGGGCTTGCACAACACAAGCAGGGCTTGCTTTTTGATGCTGCTGAGTGCTGCTTGACATATATATAGGGTTTAGAGTAAATAATTGGATTTTTTATTATTATAATACTTGGGCCTTACATAATATTAATATAGTACAATTTTTCAAAGAAATATATATGTTTATACAAATTAGGGGCCCTCCCAATTTAAAGGCTAAGGCGGTTTCCTTGCCCACGTGCTCAGGGCCTCCCTTGCGGGCTGGGGTGGGATGGTTACAGTCGGGGCGAGAGAGAGGGAGTGAGAGAGAGAGAGGTTGGTGTGCTGGTGTGGGGTCGAGGTAGGGCTGGGTTGATATCGGGTGAGGGAGGAAGATAAGAGGAATGACACTCTTTTTTTGGACAACGGGAGACTTGTAAGTGGTTTTTAAATTTTAATTTTTTAATGTATTTTATTTAAATTCACTTGACATTATATAATTGGATATGCAGGCTCCACATAAGTGCCACATCAGCAAACTAACATCAGCAAACTAACAGAGTTTTTAACGGAAACTCACAGTAGAGACTATTTGTGAGCACACAAATAACAATTACCAAAAAAAAAAAAAAAAAAACTGAATCTGAAAGTTTCATGAACCTGAAGGACGTTTTGTGATAAAAATCCAAAAGAAAAAGAATTCAACTAAGGAAAGATATTCAAGTTGAATAATACAGACATGCCCTTTCCAGATAACAACCAGCTGCTTTGAACTACCCAAGAAGATGGAGAACCAAAAATCAATATTTCCTTTTTTCTCTGGTTGAATGGAATTAATTTACAAACATACATGAAATACAAGACAACCAAAGATGGAGGTAACCAAGACTGCCATGGCCTTTTCAACAAGCCATTAGACAGAATTCCACACTGCTGTAGCCTTTTCTGTTCTCTTATGTTTTGCAATTTTTTGTTCCTTCATATTTTCGGACAAAAGAAACGTTTTCATTTATTTTTCACCATTTTCCGCTGAATGGCCTCACCATGTCACGTAAAACTCTCTGGCGTTTTGTTGGCTTCATGTTAGGCAGTTTCAGGTTGTGGACTCCCATTAGGTCCTGATCCTACTGCAAATTGTAGACCCATATGTTGTCCAGACTGAAGAACAAAAGCGACTTGTGTTGCTGCCAATGCTGCAGCCTCCTGTTTTACCATATTACAATAAGAACATTAAGGAGCAATTAAAAATAAGCCCAAATTCAATGCATCATGTTACAGTTTCGAAGTCTTAGATTCTATCTTTATAGCATTATTATGGAATATACCATGAACAAAGTGATTATTATGTAGCAAGATCAGAAAACAACATGAAAGAGCAGAATAGGAAAAGAAAAAAGAAAGAATCACCAATGTATAAGACTTAACATTTGAAAGTAGAATTGAAGGTAATATTAACCTGTCTTTGCTGTCGACGCTGCAAGATACTGATGGCCCAAGCCATAATATAGCAGGGCAAAAGAAATCCAGCCGCTCGAAGCAAGAAAAGCTGCAGAGTAACAACCAGTTTATCAGCTTCACTGAACCGTAAAATGACATCAATTCAAGGGATAATGAAGCACCAGACTGGCGAGTTGATAGAAAAAGTAAGTTCAAATCCACTTACAGAGAAAATAGCAGACGTGTCATCCCCATTGTCAGAATCTGTGACTCTCAGTGCATGCCGCAAGATCAGAAGGGCCATTAACTGCCAAATGCAGAGGATTAAAATTAAAATCAAACCTGATTTACCTCATACATAAGGAATAAGAATATGAGACAGGAGTTAATTTCTTCTCAGTAGGATTGAAAGTTTATGGGCTTACAATTAAGGCTGCTGAACGGAAGAATGGAGCTCCATTACTGCTTGAAGCAGAATATTCATCATATTCAGTATCCAGATACTGACGTTCTGCCTCTGCAATTGACAGGATGCGTGGATCGTCCAAACTCAAAGGAGTGCCAGAAAGGGTCCAGCCTCCACTGCAGGAAACATCCATAGCCCAAAGATAATCATAAGCCATCCATATCGTCTTTCATGCAGTTTTAATCATAAACATGACAGAAGTATTAAGTTAACTAGCACTGTTACCAAAATAATCAAAAGAAGTTAAAAACACTTGTGATGAAACATAAGAAAATTTGACTCACCCAATTTCAATAGTAGTTTCATCAGATGGCGGACGAGGAGGTGCAGTATAGCCAGGTTGGTAAGTCTGTACATAATGCAAAAGACCATCAATTAGGACATAATGCAATTATATCACTTGAAAGGAAAGTATTTCAAAATTTTCAAAATAAATACGATGCAGCAATAATGATTCCAAACAACTTTGACATCTGATCTTATCCAAAAGTGCTTACAAAAAACAGAAGATGACATACTTTTCCAAATTATGAAGGAGATCTACATAGTGTTAACGATGTAGTAAAAGCATCATGCAAATGAGAGATCTAGAATTGAACGTACACGTGTTTATGAAAATGGCTTCAATTCACCGATTCAAAAATAATTTTCTTAGAAAAGACAACCCCATCGTATCACATCATTTATCAAAAGTCAAGGTTCATCCCCCAGCCTTACCACACATAAATACAGATGTAACTGGAATCCACTCACTACTAGTTTTTAATTCCTCATGACATGGAGAGGCCAAGGATTGTAAGACGAAATTAAGACTTCTCTTTTCGGAAAAGGAAAATTCAAGTAGCCAAGAAAGTCGAAAAATTAAATTTTACAAGCTTATGTGCAGCATAAGATTAGAGCACCAAAAATAGATAGAGAAAATTTCAAGCAGCATACCTGATGACAAATTTCACAAGTTATATCTCCTTTCTCATTGCACCAATGCTGAACGCACTTTCTATGAGCATACTGAAACAAATTTCACCACGCATAATGAGATCAGAAAAACAAGACATAAAAAGAAAAAAAAAGACAGAGACAGAGACAAGATGACTGCTAGACACTAGCTCATGGAAGCAATATTTGCTATACAAATCATCATTCACCAAAAATATCTTGCAAATGGATCCAACAACTCTGTCAATTATATCAATGATCAAAGAAGTGCGAACAAGGAGACAACAACGGTTGTTTTAATAGAAAATGTATGACGCAAAGTTCTATTGACTAATGGATTCCACAAATATAAATAGCTCTTAAACAAAGAAATAAAAAACAAAACAGAATCCGGGAAATGCCTCTATGGATGCAAAAATTCTGACGCTTTTCACCGACATCTCTGGTTGGTTAATATGTTCAGGAAAAAATTTCATTATCCACTGTCTGTCACCAAAGTTAAGGGTCATTTGCAAATAAGAAAACATTTCCTATAATCCCCCAAATCAATTCAAATCCCCAACAATTCTAATGACAGCAATTCAGCATTACATACAAAGTCAAAGACTGAGCCTTTATATCATATGATATTAAATATATACCTTGAGGCTGCCACAACAGGCACAAGGAGATTCCAAATTGCTAATGCTATCCTCATCCTGGCAAATGCGACACTCCGCCGTCTGAATCAGTGGCTCCTCCTCCTCCGCGCCCTCGGCTGACGAACTAGAAGACGGGTCGGCAGTGTCCGGGACAGGATCGGGTCCAGCCGGCTCCGGCCCAGAAATGACCTCAGGAGGCTCCGACGGCTGCTGTGCGGCCATGGGCCTGAGGAGACGGTCAACGTACAACACGAGGTGGTCACTCATTGTCGATTGTATGCGCTGATCACACAGAAAACGACCTAATCGAATGGACCCAACACTAATTAACAACCAATTTCATTGAATTTAAACTTCCAAATAAGAAGTCTTTTTTTTTTTTTTTTGTGAGTAAAATTTAACCCTAGAAACCCAGGATCGCGCTGGATTGACACAGCGGATCGTCAGGTTTCCGAGAGAAGATAAATTGGGGGATATCTTACCTCCGAATTGGACAAGAAAATTGGAAGCGCGTTTAGATAATCGGGGAAGAGAGAGAGAATTTCGTTAATTTTCTAATTGGGTCTGTTTTCGTATTTTTGGATTTGCCCAAAATACCAAGCTACGTTTCTCTGCCCATTTCCGAATTTGCTATATATAGTGCTGGGTATCTTTTCCTCGACTTCACCGAAACGACTTCAGGGGTATTTTCGTCGGTCCAATTTTCCTTTGCCGCGTAAAACGACCGGTTCCGCTATACACGACAAAACAATATAAACCACTTAATTTAGATAAATGGAAAGTCCTCCATCATCGTCATTAAACTGCTAATCACCTCACCTAATCATCACTGTTGTTAGCTTAATGCGAAAACAATAATACCGGAGACATCAACTTATAAAGTTAATTTTTCGACACTAATAACATGATAATTTTTTATTTATTATGTTATTTAACAAAGTTTAAAATGAATTTAGAATGAAAACAAAGTTGGTGTCTAATGACATTTATTTAACAAATAGGGGAGTTCGGAGATGAACGTGTAGTATGGGAATGTAACAATGCAATTAGGTTTGGAAATTCATTAATGAACTGGTCAGCCCAACTTTTGAACCGACCCTCAAGTCTACGTAGCTCCATGGCCACTTTTAATTTTACCAACTTTGAATTAATTATTCAAAATTGGAGGTCTAATGTACTAGTAAAGCTAGGGTTTTTTGAGAGAGGAGCGAAAGAGTTTTATTAATAGGAGAGGATAAGCAACTAGTACAAAAATCGGACAAAGTATTCGGGAATTAAGCGAGTATCTCTACATATATGGTCTTCAACTCGTTATTTAATTATTTCAAAAAATTTGTGATGTATAATTGAATCCGTTTGAATTAATTTCGTAGGATAATGCACACATCAAAGTGGTAAGTAAGACCAATAATTTCTCCACACCAAAAATTAAAAATGGTAAGAGTATTCAAATGAATGGCTATCATTATATTAATTGCTTCTAAATGTTCTTCTATTTGTCATACTTACTAATAATACAGCTTAGAAGACATTTCTTTAAAACGTTGAAAGTGATGATTTTGCTAGTAGAACTGAATAACGCGTATTTATATTTTATGAGGTTTTTTTTGTTTTTGCCAGATATATTTTATGAGGTTTGGTTCACCGTATCAAACAAAATTACAAGTCTAGAACATTCTTAGAAATTTAAACAAGAAAAATAGCTACCAAGTCTAGACGTGCACATTTATCTATGCAAAACGGGAAGATTGGATTGGTTGCTTGCATTGCATTGGACTTTCAGGGAAGTAGCCCTTTTCTTTTTTAATAGTTTTTGACCCAAGAAAGAAATTACAACTTCTCTGCCCTCTGACCCAAGAAACAAATTAGATGGATGTCCTCACACAGAACCCCAAATACAGGGGTAAAGGCACAGCTACAAGCCTCTTTCAGTACGTTCATTTTTTATGGCGTTGAAGCAAATATTGGCTCGAAATAAGTTGCAATATTTTATGAAACGTTAATCACTGGAAGTTTGACACGTAGAGCAGAGTCTAGCTCCAACCCAATTTGTTTGTTCTTTTGGTATGAGAAATTAGAAACCCGCAATTCCTACATTACTCGACTCCAAGCCAGAAAAGCGAAAAACATGAGGCCCATGGAAATTGGAAACCTTAAGACTGATGTGATGAAATAAGCTCTCGCTTCAGTAATAAGAACAAATAACAATTATGAAGAAAGCACGTGTATTAAAACATTATCATACAATGATACAACATTCTAAATCTCCTCACAACAAGCCTTCCCCAATTTTTATCCTAACTTCCTATTCGGATTTGTGGGTAATGAGAGAGCATGTGGTACAATTAATTGGAGGTATTGGGTTCCCTCCCAAGTACAAAATGGGTATCTAAGCCTAGCATTGCCGGCATAAAAAATGTTACCACTAAATTCTGTGCTGATACCCACACCATACAATATCGCTTCTGGTCGGTAACCTTATGAGGATGGCCTTGGGCAATAAACCGAGGCCTGCTCAAGTGAATCTGGTTTAGCATGTTGCACTACTCTTTCCTCCGGATCTAACATAACAAGTGTACATTCTTCCTCTAGAAGCTATCAACATCTCATCTACTAACACGAGTAACTATATACCGCCCTTTCTCCAGGTCATAAATTGTCTTCAACTGGGGCTTCCTCCACTTTGACAGAGACCACACTGTAAACATCAATATTGCAAAGATGAAAATTAATGATAGTAGAGTGGGAGAGCCATCACTAATTACGGTGCTAATCCAATCAGAGTGCCCTACATCCAAGTCAGATTTGCTTTGCAAGATGAAAGCTCCCAGAGCCCAATCGAGTGGAATACTTCCCACCTGATTTGCAACCCTGATCCTGGTCACAAGAGTAGTGACAATTGATAAGAACACATACACGTGTGCAAGTTCAAATGTTATGTATGTGACATACAAGTCTGAAGTAGAACGAGTATTACCTTTCATCGTCCATGGCAATCCCAAGACTATCATGAAGTAGGGCCACAGTATATGCTGAAGAGAAACAATAGTGAAGCAAAGCTTCTTCATCGAGTCGATGGTGTCTCTTCTTTAACTTCGACCAATCCTCTCCACAGAATTGTTGTCCAGCCATCATCAGGTCAGAAAGAAAAGCTTTTGAAGCCAAACCAAAGAACTAGGAAAGCAGTAGAAAAAGAAAAGGAAAGAAAAAAGGGTGTAAGAAACACACAATTAAATGCATCTAAGTAATAATTCTACTGTATATGTTCGTTACAGAAATTTAAAAAAGAAATAAAAAGAGTATCCTTGTTACTTCACCCATGACATTAAAAAAATATGACAAAACCATTAATAAGAAAGAAACTGATGATTAGAGCATTGAGAAGACAAAACCTTGGATGTATGGAAGAAATTTTCTGTAGCCAAAAACTTTCCCTGAAGCTTAGGTATGAAATTTGATCCAATCCTGCAGTGTTGATAGGAACATTTCTCTGATCCCAGGTAAAGAGATAATCATTGTCAAAAGAAAGTAAAAATAAAATCTGTGATGCACAAATGTAACAATACAGTGAAGATTGAAGAAGAATATCTACAACCTTTTCCTTTTTGCAGCATCATTATTGCAGCGGATCTGCATTCAGAGAAGTTGCCCCTTGATTGAAGAGTAGATAAATGTCTATGCTTCTCAACCGAAGAACTTGGAGAAAGCTTTGACGACTGCATCTTATATGAATATCCTTTAGGAGTGCAAGGATCTATTGACATTCTTTTCTGAAGTGATTCAGCATCTGCATTAACGTTAAAATATAGTAGAAATCCAGTCAAATATCATGTTCTAACTGTGAGGCTTTCAGAACTATTGCCAATATGCATTAGATCAAGGAATCAACAACCAAATCAGATTTTTTTTTTTGGGTAAAGAACAAACAAATCAGATTGAAACAATCAATTCCAACAAACTCTTCCATTGGCCACCAAAATTGTTTCAATATAACTGTGTGAAAGGGGAGTAAGAACCACAAAAATATGCTACATCCTGGTGATCAGTCCAATCAAGCCATATTGCTAATAACATCATCATACAGATAACCACATTATAACTTATGCTTCTAAAGGGATATGAAGTTCATGGATGCCAGACTCACAAGAAAAAATTGGAATTCAGCATTACACAGTCAAACAACTTTAGGTTCAAGGCATACAAAAAATCAGAGCAGAAAGCAAAGCTTAAATTTTTACCTGAGTTGAAGTCTCCTGAAACAATTGCTTCTTTCAACGAATCATATGCAACATTCTGCATTATCAAATTACTTTTGAACTTCAAACCATAAAGTAGCACCTTAATGAAAATTAAACTTCCAAGCTTCCATTTGTCTGGAAAACTTGGAGAAGTTGATATCTGCAAATGAACAGCATTAACAAAGCCGAACAAACCTGGCCGTAATGAAGAAGGCTGTGACTGTAGAGATTGTAAGTGACATTTCCATATTTAACAACACGTGAGAACTCATAAGGCACCGGCTCACTTGAAACAAATGTCACCTGAAATAAAATTGGACCAAAAATTATCATATCCCCAGCTGTTCCAACTCTTTTCTCCAATATGTTTTTGGTACTTGTTCGCATACAAATAGCTAATCATATTTCCCAATAAAAAGCACATTCGCGAGGCATGATATTTTTTGTGACTTGCAATTGTGATGAACCTGTGTATTGGCTCAGACCATAATTTTGGGGTCAGAAATCCAAAATTTCAAACGAATACCGTAGGAAAGTATTCATGCAATCACACCTGAGCAGAAGCTCCACCAAGTTCAATAATCCCAGTTGTCTGCAAAGGATTGCCACCAAGAGTGCCAAGGGCATGGTTTGCAACAACCCAAGCATATAGTCCTTCATCAGAGCCTACATCAACCATAATTTCAGAGAGCTGCTCATAAAACATGAACTCCACATTTGAAGTTAACAAACAATCAAATACAAAAAATTTATGGGTTGGCTGATATCAACTATGCACATTATTGTTAATAATCTTTTCTAGCATTCGAAATTGGCTCTTTTCATACAATGCCACTAAAATTAGATTAAAAAAACTCATTCAAATCACTTCAATCGTATTGCGATTCGCAATAGATGCAAAAACCACAACACAATTCACAAATAACAGTACCTGTAATCACCGAAGCCCACTCGTTCTGAAACTTAAACCCAGAACCCCGAAGCACCTTTCTACAAGAGTCCAGAATCCGGTTCTGGACATCCAAATCAAGCAGTCGGAGCCCCGCCGTGGCCATAAGCCTTATCTCCGTGTTCTCCCATTGCTCTTTGGGAACCCTACCCTTCCCAAACTCCACAAGCTCCCGCAACGACCCACCCGCCGATTCCGGATCCTCCGCATACGCCGAGAGCCCCGGGTTAACCCGCATCGACGACAACCCGTCCGTGCCGAAATCGAAGACGGCAGTGTCGCCGCCGTCGACTCCGTACCCGAACACGTGGATTCGGGTACCCGTACTCCCCCCGTCGATCACAATCCCGTACCGTTTCTTCCCAAAACTCCTCGAATTTCTCGCGGAAACAAGAAGATAACAGAGTGTGAAAG